GTGTAGGCACCTCGGAATGATTGTGTTAAGCTAGCACTAAGTCCCTCCCCCATCCACCTTTATTCTTTTCTTTACAATAAGGCCTTCAAATAAGTCATGGTTGTACGGCAGTGAAGCATTGGTGTTGAACACTGATGTCATGCTATCGTTGTTGTTGATGATGATGATGATGAATGACCAGAATGGATAAGGGTGAGTGTTGTGGGCATAAGAACAACTGTCTGCGGGTCGAACAATAGCTGGCTGATGGGTTTTTCTAACAAATTAACGAGACGATTAAATCAACACAGAATTAGAGTAAGGGGGAAGTTGTGAAGCGATAAAGATAGGTGACCAATCATTTAGGACAGGGCAGGTTTCAGTTATACTCCAAAAGTACAATCCAAAGGCGACTTTATGAGCTGCATAAAATTCACAAGGTGGGCATCCCAATGAAAACAATATTGGATTGCGCAGGTTCATCACGATGTGAACTAACAAGATTTCTGACAGGTATCCTGAAACCACTCGCGACTAATTCATCACCAACAACCAAATTTCGCGTGATTTTGCTCAAACAGAGTAGCTGGATTTCTAGTGGAGCTAGATGCGATTAGTCATGGTATCAACTAAATGTATAAAAATTTCCCTAAGAGGGACACTGTGCAGGTAGCGAGGCAGTTCCTAGGGGCAAACACAATAGTGCAAGAACAGACGCAAACCCCTACAAAGGAGATAATTCGCGGAATCAGAATATGCCACGTCTTTGATGTAGTTATTTACTCTCAAGAATATGGTTCACTAACGAGAACTCCTATAACCCCGGCTTTGGCCAATATGTGCACGCAGAACAGAAAGCTTTGGAGGGAATAGAGTGTCAAACAGTTGTTGGTGTCGCGTAGATGACACATTCGTTGGGATTAAGCATGATAAACTGAACGAATGCCACCAGTATGTGAACACCTTGAATGCTCACATTAAGTTCAGCCTGAAGCTAGACTGCGCTTTCGGTACACTGCCCCCCTAAGAATGTAGTACTCACAAGGATGGTAGAAAATTAGAGATTAATGTTTACAGGAAACTAGCGGAAACGGGTGTCATCCTAAACTACTCATATCATGCCAGCATACATTAGTATGGTTTCATCTATTTTTAATCAAGTAAGAGCACTACGCACAGAAAAAGCCGGCCGAACAGCAGTACAAATTGTGTTTAAAAGGGGCCTCATAAAACCGCATACTCAGTGAGTTTGATTAAATACGAATTATGATGCATAGTTGGCCTCAACACGAAGACCCAATAGGGAGTGGGTCGGGACAACAGTCATACCATACAAAACAAGGACATCCGAAGTCAACAGAGAAGTGCTGAATACGACTAAGAAAGTTGAATTCCAGGATGGAAAACTCCATGCTCAGGATTGCCTGCCGGTCGGTAGGACTAGGGATATAATATAAAGTAAAATGTAACAACTGACCTAAGGTTTCACGTAAGACAAACAGCCACCCCGGAATCGGTGAGCAAAAGGGGCGCGTAAGTAAATCAGCAGGAACGCAAATGAATATCTGAGGACAGCTAAAGATTTGGCAGTGGTGGAACGGTGCACCGACACTATGAAGACTTAGGAAACGTGGACGTTTGATGTGAGGGCTGAGATTCACACCATAGCAACTGGTCGCTGAGATGATGGAAATGGCCAAACACTCGCGCACGAATAGAAGTAGTTGGTTTTTAAGCTCACAAACCGTACAAAGAGCAGTCGTTCCAGTTGATGTAGCTCATTCACCTAGGAAAGGGGAATATGGTAATGGAAGTCCCGCTTTGGAGCCGATGGCCCAGGTTGTGAATTGGTGGATCTGTTTGTCCAGTGTGACAGGGAGTGGGAGTTACGTAGCGAAGATGATAGCTTTATACAAGAGCGCCGCTGGACGCATGACGTAGCCACATCTATTAGGGGGACTAACCACTGGTTCGCCTCGTCCCGCAGTCCCTATCCGGTGAGACAGCAGTTGCAAACGCAACAGAATGGACTGGCAAGGACTTTCATTGTTCGTTGGCAAGTCACGGACTGACCGCCTCTGGACTGTCTCCATTCGATATAAGGCTGGGTGAAGATGAATTTAGGAAGGAGGCCGTCCTCTCGCCGAACCAGCTGGTCTAAAGAGGGGGTGAACTTTCTCGTTAACCATGTGGAGTGCCTCAGCACTAGTGATATGATGTTCCTACCGGACACGCGCAATGATTCGGAGGAACCTATGGTCAAATACAGAGCCTTCGAAGGTCTCCTGCATGCAGCGACCACGTCTCCATAAATTAGGACCGATCGACCGACGACACTGTACGCCCTACCCTTGAAAGTTAAGCTGATGTCATGCCGACGCCACAAATGTTGCACGATGGCAAACGCTGCCCTGGCCTCCGAGAAATGGTTTCGTCTTTCGCAAATCCACCAGGACCTATGATGCTGGCAAAATAGACGAACTTACTCACCACATCAATCGGTTCGCCTGAAAGCATGATGCTTGGGTTCGACCCCACCCAAACTTGCAGGGACAATATGTAGGTGCGAAGTGCATACAGAACTGTGCAGTAGAATTGAGATTATTTAAAATACTCTAAACTTCAAGGGAGAAGTGTCATCGGTGTACTCAATGTCCGTGAGTGAACGCCCTGGGAGTATTTCTATCCCCGAGGTATAAGATGTAAGTAAAGAAGACTCAGGCAGCACATCGACTGCGAAGTTAAAGGGAAGGGGAGGCAAAAGACATCCCTGGCTGGTACCACTGGATGTGGAGAATCCAAGTTTGCCACGGACATGTGCATGTCCACGGGAGGATGAGCGAATTCCCTTATAATAGACATGAATTTAGAAGGGATGTCTTTCACTGCCAGTCACTGCTACAATTTCTGACGATAAGCGGAACCAAAACTAGATATCAGATAAAAAAGACGACCATTGTTGGTCGTTGGTAGGAGTGGTGCAGTTACCGCATCATCATCATCATCATCATCATCATCATCATCAATGACAGCACTGATGCTTCACTGCTGTACAACCATAAAGTTCGTTTAGTT